CCCCAAAACCCCAAAACCCCAAAACCCCAAAACCCCAAAACCCCAAAACCCCAAACATCAAAGTTATAATAGAATAATACTAAATACTAGACATGGGAAGCTGCTGCGTAAAGCCAAAAGAGGGAAATTCAGGAGATATTCTTGAAGAAAATGGGGGCAATAAAAGCCCAGGCAAAAAGGATAAAAAGTCTCTGATTAGCTCTCAGGGGGAAGCTAGCAAAGTCACCAGGATAGATTCATTGGACATGGCTCCAGGCGAGGAGGAACTATACTCGAAATCAATTAATCTAAACCACTTTGATATAGTCAAGGTGATTGGCAGAGGGTCTTTCGGAAAAGTCTATTTGGTGCAGAAATAAGGACACAGAGCAATTCTACGCAATGAAAGTCTTGAAGAAAGAGGCTATCTCCTCACCCTCCCAGAGACTGCATACAATTGCTGAAAGGAGAATTCTACAAGAAATCGACAGTGATTTTATAGTGAAGCTTCATTATGCATTCCAGAACCCTGACAAACTTTACTTTGTAATGGATTTCCTGAACGGAGGAGAGATGTTTACCCATCTTCGGAAAAACGTGAAATTTTCTGAGAAACGAGCAAGGTTTTATTGAGCCGAACTCATTATGGCTCTCAAGTGACTACATGATAATAATATCCTCTACAGGGATTTGAAGCCTGAGAATATTATTTTGGGTTGCGATGGCCACATCAAAATTACTGACTTCGGTCTTTCAAAGATGAATATTAATAAAGAAGATGATTTGACTTTCACGTTTTGTGGAACGCCAGAATACCTTGCGCCAGAAATCATAAGCCAAAAAGGACATGACAAATCGGTTGACTGGTGGAGTTTAGGGGTAATCTTATTTGAAATGCTCACTGGAAAAGCCCCTTTTGCTCATAAAAACAAACAGAAGGTTCTGAATGATGTTCTTAAAGCTCCAATACCTCCGTTCAAGTTTTCTGAGAATGCAAACGACTTACTACGAAGACTGCTCATCAGAGACCCGAGAAAACGCATAGGATATGGTGATAGAGATGCGGAAGAAATTATGGAGCATCCATTCTTTGAATGAATAGATTGGGAGAAGCTTGCTGAGAGAAATGTAACCCCACCCTATATTCCTAAGGTCCGAAAGCAAGATGACCTTCGACATATCGATCCAATGTTTAAAGAGGAAAAGGTGGAAGACACGCCTGCTGATAAGAAACTGAGGCTTAGCGAGAAGGAGAAGAATCACTTTAACGAGTTCACATATAGTAAGGACACAGTTATTAACTCAATGGAGGTAGACCAGAATGAAGATGCGCTCTCACAAATTTTAGAGGAGAGAGAAGATTCTTTTATCCCTGCTAGTTCAGATGAACTTGAATTAAATATTTAGTACCTATAACAAATTTTCGTAATAAATTGAATGTTCAACCGCTAGCCAAGTTAATGGGGTTTTGGGGTTTTGGGGTTTTGGGGTTTTGGGGTTTTGGGGTTTTGGGGTTTTGGGG